TATTATATTATTCAGGGATTTATTAATTACTAGTTCTGTGAAACTGAAGAGTCATTACACTATCAAGGGGCAATTTATTGATCTGAATAGTATAGAATGAGTTCTATGAAACATAATTAATCTTTCTATTTTAAGGTTTTATACAGTATTTGATTTGAGAGTAGAGTGTCTACTTTCATATACTGATTTTGACTGCTCATTTTGTTTATTTTAAAATTAAATTATTGGTCTTCTGTGTAATTGCTTTCTATATGAGGGAAGGAAGAACATAGGAACTGATAAACGTTAACATATTATTCATAACTCAAGTCTATTCAATTAAATCAGTAAAACCAGGAAGCTCCTGGAAAGGTGCAGATGATGTCCTGTGAGGAGCAGGACTAATGTCCATTCCTGATACTCTGAGCTTGGAAGGGCTTATCTCCAAGTCAGGTGTCATGGAAGAAATGAGGATCCATTGGAGGTGGTTGAGGGTGATGCCGTGTGCTGCATATGCCTATCTCTTTTGACCTTTACACTTCAAAATCTTAAGATCTGAAAAGTGACATGGTGTTTTTTTTTTTTCCTGAAATACAGCAATGAACATGGGAATGTTTAAGAACTGACAGAAAATCTATCATAATATATATGTTAAATATTTTTAAAATGTCTCTATGCTTTTGATATTTTCATCTAATTTTGCTAGAAATAGAGCAATTATACCTCAAATTTCACAACCATTGGGATATGGGGTAGTGAGATTTTGTTTTTAATTTATTTTTTATTGGTGTTCAATTTACCAACATACAGAATAACCCCCAGTGCCCATCACCCATTCACTCCCACCCCCCACCCTCCTCCCCTTCCACCACCCCTAGTTCATTTCCCAGAGTTAGGAGTCTTTATGTTCTGTCTCCCTTTCTGATATTTCCCACACATTTCTTCTCCCTTTCCTTATATTCCCTTTCACTATTATTCATATTCCCCAAATGAATGAGAACATATAATGTTTGTCCTTCACCGATTGACTTACTTCACTCAGCATAATACCCTCCAGTTCCATCTATGCTGAAACAAATAGTGGGTATTTGTCATTTCTAATGGATGAGTAATAATGAGATTATATATGTTTGATTGATCCATTTTATCCCTAACTGGGATCAGATATTAATTAACCAAAACCATCATGACTCCACTGTGGTAACATTTGGCTTGTAATTCAAACCACAGCTGCTTTTCCTAACTCACCCAAGCCCGCACCTCACTTTCAGCCCGTCCAGACACCCATCATCCCATGATTGTTTGGTGACTTCCTGCACTAATGGAAAAAGCCTGTTAGTATGGGGTGCTGCTGGATACTCATGAAGCATGGATAAGTGTTCACTGGCATTATCTGAGGCTCCTATTCCTCTATAGGGAATAGGTTGGAGTTCAACGATTTTACCAGGTGCTACTCCCCTGACCTTCAGCACCTGTCACCAAATATGGATTCCTGTTTCTAATTCAAAAATTTTAAGTTAATGTCCAGTTCTATATACTAAAAATCCCTCTACTTCCCCTGGAGCCTTGTGACAACCCAGCAATTGCACCGCTGGGATTTGCTACAAAGACACAGATACAGTGAAAGGCCGGGACACCTGCAACCCAATATTGACAGCAGCTGTGTCCACCATAGCTGAACTGTAGAAGGAGCCTCCGTGTCCATTGACAGATGGTGGACAAAGAAGATGTGGTCTATGTATACAATGGACTATTCGTCAGCCATTAGAAACGACAAATACACACCATTTGCTTCAATGTGGGTGGAAGTGGAGGGTAGTATTTTGAGTGAAGTAAGTCAGTCTGAGAAGGACAAACATTATATGGTTTTATTCATTCAAGGAATATAAGATATAGTGAAAAGGAATAAAGGGGAAAGGAGAGAAAATGAGTGGGAAAAATTAGAGTGTGATAGAACATGAGAGACTCCTAAGTCTGGGAAACGAACAAGAGGTAGTGGAAGGGGAGGTGGGCGGGGCCAGTCTCCCTGCTTGGGAGATAGTAAGTGTAAGAAAACACAAGATAGTTTTGACAATTTAAAAGTGAAAGTACCCAAACTAATAAAATAATGAATAAATGAGGAGAAATCACAATGTACACCCAAGAATTACAAGCAAGTATAAGAAAAAATTATGAGCAGTTATAAGCCAACATACTGGGTGATCTGGAGAAACAGATGCAATCCTAGGAACATAAAGACAAGGAAAACAGAAATACTAATGAATGGACAAGTTGCACAGAACAATTACCTGGAAATAAAAATCAATCATAATTAAAAGTCTCCCAAAAGCAAGACGACACGTACAGATGGTTCACCAAGGAAATTCCACAAGAACAATCAATATCTATTCTTCTAAAACTATTCCAAATAATGGAATTTAAAGGAAAAATGCCAGACTCATTCTGTGATGTCAGTATTACCTTGACCCCAAACCAAACATCCCAGTAAGAAGGAGAATTACAGAACAATATCATTGATGAATCTGGATGCAAATTTCTCACCAAAATTCTTACCAGCAGAATCCAACAGCATATTAATAAAATTATTCATGAAAAACAAAAGGGCTTAATTCCTGGGCTGCAAGGCTGGTTCAGTATGTGTAATCTATCAATGTGATAATCACATTAATTAAACAAAGAATAAGTGCCATTTTATCCTCTCAACCGATGCCCAAAAATAATTTGACAAAACACAGTATTCTTTCTTGATAAAAACCTTTTCCTGTGTAGGGATAGGGGGATACACCCAAATTCATAAAAGCCATCTACAGAGGATACCCAAAGAATGTCATCCCCAACCTAGAAAAACTGAGAGCTTTTCTCCTAAGGTCAAGATCATGACAGGAATGCGCACTGTCATCACTGTTATACAACATAAAACTAGACGTCTAGCCTGAGCAATCAGACAAAAGAGTGGAAAAGTCATACATATCAGCAAATAAAAAATCAAACTTTCACTCTTCATAGACAACAAGATACTTTAAGGACAAACCCCAAAGACTCTATTGAAAAATTGCTGGAACTAATACAGGAATTCAGCAAAACCTAAGCACACAAAATCAATACAAGGAGTCAGTGGCATTCCTATATATTACAAATGAAACAGAAGAAAGAGAAATCAAGAAAGGGGAATCAAGATTATTAATCATAAACAAACTATCCCATTTACAATTGCATCAGAAACTTCATACAATGAAGAATAATCCTAACCAAAGATGGAAAGGACCGATAGTCTAAAAATTCTAAAATACTTATGAAAGACATTAAAAAAGACACAAATATGTAGAAAACATTCTCTTCTCATGTATTGGGAGAATAAATATTGATATGTCTATGCTACAAACAGCAGTCTATGCACTCAATACAAACCCTATTGAAACACCACCAACATTTTTCTAGGAAATGGAAAAAACAATCCTAAAACTTGTAAATAAAAATAAAAGATTCTGACTTGGCAGAAGAATGTTGAAAAAACCCAAAGCAGAAGATATCACAATTGGGGATTTCAAAATTGTGATCATGAAGACAGTATAGTAGTGGCAGTAAAACACGCACATAAGTCAATGGAATAGAATAGAGAACCCAGAAATAGACACACAGCTCTGTGGCCAACTTATCCTCGTGAAAGTACAAAAGAGTATCGAATGGAAAAAGGACAATCTCTTGAACAAGTGGTGTTGGGAACATTGGACAGCTGCAAGTAGAATGAACCTGGGCCACATTCTTACACTCCACACAAAGATAAACTCAGAGTAGATGAAAGAGCTAAATGTGAGCCAGGAAACCAACAAAATCCAAGAGATTTTGTGACCTCATTTGCAACAGTTCTTGGTACTTGACTTACCAAAGGGAAAGAAAACAAAATCAAAAATGAATTCTATGGACTACATTAAGGAAGGAGCTGTCGTACAGCTGTGGAGACACTCAACATGATTAAAAGGAAACCTAATGAATGGGAAAAGTTATGGATGCCTGTGTAGCTTGAACTTCTGTCTTTGGCTCAGAGCATAATCCCAGGACTCTCGGATTGAGACCAGCATCTGACTCCTTGTGGGGAGCCCACTTTGCCTTCTGCCTAGGTCTCTGTGTCTCTGTCTCATGAAGAGATAAATAAAATTGTCAAAAAAAGAATGGGAGAAGATATTTGCAAATCTATCTTCAGTTTAAGGCTGGTTTCCAAAATCGACAAATAAATTACCAAGGTAAACAAACACAAGGGGAAAAATTAAGTCAGAAATGGGCAGAAGACATGAAGAGACACCCTGTCCTGAGATGAGTTGCTGACTCTCAGTTTATATGAGGTAGCTCATCCACATGCAAAATGAAATTTATTGTCTCCCCTAGGTCTGCCTTATGTCAACTGCATGATTAGACCAGACAATGGATCCAAAAGGCAAGAGGGAAATATTTCTGCCCCAGACTGGAGGAACTACCAGAAAACCTGGGAAGAAAAAAACATAAAGAAAATAAATTGGAAACTGGAAAGAAAATAATTAGGTTTCCTATGACAATGTCTTAATAGAGTCAACGAGTAAAAACTTCACGTAAAACCTGGAAAATTAACTCATGAGCTCAGCGAAAATGTCAGTATATAAAATCAGCAAATAAAATAAAGATATATTCCTACAAAATAACAACAAATTACATGTGCAAAATTAACAAAATAATCCGATTTCCACTAGCACCAAAAATAAATATATAGGATTAAAATTTACTAAAAAGATGAAATATCTCCAGAAAATGACATATACTGATGTGTCTTTTGAAATGAACCCAGAAATTAAAAAATAACTGTCCTTAGAACTTCATATAGTCAGAGGGCCATCTACACAAATTGCTATAGAATTGTGGTGCAACACATGTGTGGCTTTAAATACACGAATGTAAGTCTGGAGCTGGTTATATAGTCAGAGGACATGCAAATAGGGCCCTCCCTCCGCTGATTAAACCAGCCCAGTCCCGACCCTGCAGCTGGGAGAGGAGCCCCAGCCCCAGGATCCCAAGGTGACCCGATTCAGGGATCAGGACACAACACAGACAAACCACCATGGAGTCTGTGCTCGGCTGGGTATTCCTTGTCGCTATTTTAAAAGGTAATTCATGGAGAACAAGGGACCTTGAGTATGTGAGTGGAGGTGAGTGAGAGAAACAGGGGATGTGGGACAGTTTCCTGACCAGGATGTCTTGTGTCTGCAGGTGTCCAGGGTGAGGTGCAGCTGGTGGAGTCTGGGGGAGACCTGGTGAAGCCTGGGGGGTCCCTGAGACTCTCCTGTGTGGCCTCTGGATTCACCTTCAGTAGCTACAGCATGGACTGGGTCCGCCAGGCTCCAGGGAAGGGGCTGCAGTGGGTCGCATACATTAGGTATGATGGAAGTAGCACATACTACACAGACGCTGTGAAGGGCCGATTCACCATCTCCAGAGACAACGCCAAGAACACGCTGTATCTGCAGATGAACAGCCTGAGAGCCGAGGACACGGCCGTGTATTACTGTGCGAGGGACACAGTGAGGCGACCTCAGTGTGAGCCCAGACACAAACCTCCCTGTGGAAGGGGATCAGGACCACCAGGGGGTGCACACTCCTCACCACTTCTGTCTTGAAGGCCCAGGAGCAGGTGCAGAGGAGGTTCTGGGCAGGTTTCCTGTCAGGGTCTGGGCTTCCTCTCCAAGGAGCAGTTTTCCCCAGGGAGTCTCTCTGGACATAGGATTTTGTGTTAAAGTATTCATTCTCTGTCTTAGAAACTTAGGAAATCAACTCTAGCATCTGCATACTTTTGTAAACAACTGTCCTACTTTCACTTCTTGAACTTAAATTTCCCTGACCTGGACTATAAATCAATTACAAATACCTCCATACTCATCAACTGAACATTTTCCTGAATCACAACAGCACTCCCTGTGCACCAGGGAGGAAGACACAAAGAGATGGAAAAATATTCCATGCTCATGGATTGGAAGATTTAGTATTGTGGAAATGTCAATGTTACCCAGGGCAGTTTACACAGTCAATGCAATCCCTATCAGATACCATGGACTTTTATCAGAGAGGTGGAACAAATCATCTTAAGATTTGTGTGGAATCAGAAAAGACTCCAAAAAAAAAAAAAAACCCAGGGGAATACTGAAAAAGAAAACCAGAGCCAGGGCATCACGATGTCGGATTTCACATTGCACTACAAAGCTGTGATCATGAAGACAGTGCGTTACTGGCACAAAAACAGACACATAGATCAATGGAACAGAATAGAAGACCCAGAAATGGGCCTTCAACTCCATGGTCAACTCTTATCCGACAAAGCAGGTAAGACTCTCCAGTGGAAAAAGGACAGTGTCTTCAATAAATGGTGCTGGGAAAATTGGACAGTCATGTGCAGAAGAATGAAACTAGACCTTTCTCTTACACCGTACACAAAGATAAAATCATAATGTATGAAATATCTAAATGTGAGACAAGATTCCATCAAAATCTTAGAAGATAACACAGGAAATACCCTTTTTGAACTTGGCCACAGCAACTTCTTGCAAGATACACCCATGAGGGCAAGGGAAACAAAAGCAAAAATGAATAACTGGAACTTCTTCAAGATAAATAACTTCTGCACAGCAAAAACAGTCAACAGAAGGGAAGATGATATTATCAAATAACATATAAGGCAAAGGGCTTATAGCCAACATGTGTAAATAACTTATCAAACCCAACACCCAAGAAACAAGGAATCCAGTGAGGAAATGGGGAGAAAACATGAACAGGAATTTCTCCAAATAAGACCTACACATGGCCAACAAATCCATGAAAAAATTCTTCACGTCACTTTCTTTCAGAGAAAAGCACATCCAAACACAATCAGCTGCTACTTTACACAACAGACAATGGTGAAAATTAATAAGAAATAAAACAACACATGTTCGAGAGGATGTAGAGGAAGGGGAACCCTCTTCCACTGTTGGTGGCAATATGAATTGGTACAGCCACTCTGGAAAACAGTGTGGAGGTTCCTAAAGGTTAAAAATAGATCTGCCCTACGACCCAGCAATTGCACTGCTGGGGATTTACCCCAAAGATAAAGATGCAGTGAAACGGCAGGATACCTGCACCCCAATGTTTATAGCAGCAGTGTGCGCAATAGCCATATTCTGGGAGTAGCCACGATGTCCTTTGAGAGACAAATTGATAAACGTGATATGGTTTATATATACAAAGGGATATTTCTAAGTCATTAGAAAGGATCAATAGCTACCATTTGTATCAACGTGTTTGGAACTACACAATATTATGCCAATGAAATAAGTCAGTCCCAGAAGGACAATCGTCATACTTTCTCTCATACAACGAAAGTGATCCTAAGGGAAGGAGGTAAAATGAGAGGGGATAAATCAGAGAGGAAGACAAAACATGAGAGACTCCTATCCCTGGGAGTCAGATAAAGGGCTGGGGAAGAGAGGTGGGTGGTGGGATTTGGTACCTGGGTGGCGGGCACTAAGGAGGGCACGTGATGAGATGAGCACTTGGTGTTACTCTATGTTGGGAAATTGAGCTTAAATAAATATTGAATAAATACATGAAAAACAAACTGTTAAAGAGAGAGAACATTATGAGGAATAACATGCCAACAAGTTCAGCAATCAGAGAAAAAATAGATGCCTTCAAGTAAGTGTAGAAACAACCCAGTTGGAAACAGGAATGAATAGAAAATCTGTAAAGAGTCCAAACCAGGGAATGAAAATCAAACATATTTAAAAGTCTTCTGACAATCAAAAGTCCTGGGACAGATGGCTACCCCTGGGATGCAAGAAGTATTGAAATAGAATTAATACCTATCCTGAAAATTTTCCAAAACATAGAAATTAAAGGAAACTTCCAGACTCATTTCAGAGTGTAGCATTGCCTTGAACTCAAAAGCAGACAAAGATCCAACCAAAAGGGGAATTACAGACTAATATCCTGGATGGATATGGATGCAAAATTTCACCAAGATCCTAAGCAACAGGATCCACCAGTACGTTAATAGGATAATTCACCATGACGGAATGGGCCTAATTTCTGTCTGTAAGGGTGGATCAGCATCTGCAAATCCAACAATGGGATTTGGATCATTAATAAAACAAAGGATAAGGACCATTTTATAATCTCAACTCATGCCCAAAAGCTTTTGGCAAGAGCGATTATATATTCATGTTAAACATTTCTTGCTTCGTAGCATAGGGGAACATATTCAACAAAGAAGCCATCTACAGAAGACACATGGAGAATGTCTTCCTCAACAGGGAAAAGTTGAGAGCTTTTCCCCTAAGATCAGGAACAGGACAGGGATACCCTCCATCACCACTGTTCTTCACCATTGTGGTAGAAGGCCTAGCCTCATCAATCAGACCGCAAACAGAAGGAAATTTCATCCAACTCAGCAAAGGAAAAATCAAACTTTCACTCTTCACACGCAAGTTATTTTAAGTTCAAATCCCAAATATTCCTTTAAAAAAATTTCTAGAACTGACACTTGAGTCCAGCAAGATCGAAGCATGTAAAATGAATACAAGGAAGTCAATGGCTTTTCTATATAGTGCAAATGAAATAGAAAAAAGAAAAACAAGGACTGGATGCAATTTATAATTGCACCAGAAATCATCAGATAATGAGGGAAAATCCTAACCAAAGAGGGATGGATGTATACTCTAATCATTCCAGAACACTTATGAAAGACAGTATGGAAGACACAAGTAGATAGAAAATATTTATTCTCATAGATTAGAAGAATAAATGTTGAAAAAATAACTATGCTACCAAGAGCAAGTTATCCTTTCAAAGCCAGGTTTATAAAACATCACCAGCATTTGTCACAGAGCTTGAGCAAGTGATCTAAAAACCTTTAGGGAACCACAACGACCTCCAATAACCAAAGCAATCCTGAAAATGTAAAGCAAAGCTGGAGACATCCTGATTCTGGTTGCAAGGTAAATTACGACGTTGTGATCACCAGGACAGTATGGCGCTGGAAAAAATACAGACTAATAGATAAATAGAAAACTTTAAGAACCCAGAAATGGACCCAGAATAGTATGGTCAAAAAATCTTGACAAAGCAGGAAAGAATATCCAATGCATAAAAAGAAAATCTCTTGAATAAATGCCGTTGGCAATATTGGAGAGCCACATGCAGAAGATGAAAGTGGACACTTGTTTTACATCATTCACAAAAATGGACTCAAAGTTGATGAAAGACCTAAATGTGAGTCAGGAAACCATCAGAATCCTCAGGAGAACACAGGCAGCACCTTTTCTACCTCAGCGGCAACCACTTCTAGACGTGTCTCCAGAGGCAAGGGAAAACAAAGGACAATGAACTATGGCGACTTCATCAAGGAAAGAGCATTTTCACAGGAAAAGAATCACTCAAAGTAACTAAAAGGCCACCTAGAGAATGCGAGAAGATATTTGGAAATGTCTTATCAGATTAAAGGCTCGAATTCAAATCTAAAATGAGCTTATCAATCTCAACACACACCAAAGAGATAAATCTCCAATCAGAATTGGGCAGAAGTTGTGAACAGACTTCCTGTCCTTCGTGACGTCCCGCACCACACCATATACTAGGGAGCTGATCCACATGCAAAAAGAAATTCATTTGCTCTCCTAGATCTGCTATATATCAGACAAAATATTAAAGAATCTGACAAATAAAGGGAAAATATTTATGCACCTAAATCTAAGATCACCCTTGAAATTAGGCAATAATAAAATAAAAGATATTAAAATCAGTCAACAGGAAGTTAAATAATTTGTTTGCATATACATAGTCAACGAGGAAAATTATTTCAAAAACCAATTACAAGTAACTAATGAGCTCAAAGAAAACTCAGGATATAAAATCAACATAGACATTAAAGTTAAATCCTACACACTAACAACAAATTTTCTGCATCAAATTTACAAAACAATCACCTTTACACTGGTACCAAAAATAAAAATTTATGATTAAACTTCATTAAGCAGAGAAAATACTGTTTAAAAATGACCTTTTCTAATGAAAGACCTTTAAAAAGGAACAGAAATGCAAAGATAAATACGTTGATGGATCAGAACATCATAAATCCCCTGTGAACCCAAAAGAAACTGATTTGGGGTTGTGAAGCAATCTTTGTATATAACTTATTAAGAATTGAACCTAAGTTGGTAGGTGACTATATAGTCAGGGGACATGCAAATAGGGTCCTCCCTCCGCTGATTAAACCAGCCCAACCCCGACCCTGAGCTGGGAGAGGAGTTCCAGCCCCAGGATCCCCAGGTGACCCCATTCAGTGCTCAGGACACAACACAGACAAACCACCATGGAGTCTGTGCTCTGCTGGGTTTTCCTTGTTGCTATTTTAAAAGGTAATTCATGGAGAACAAGATACCCTGAGTTGGTGAGTGGAGGTGAGTGAGAGAAACAGGATGTGGGACAGTTTCCTGACCAGGATGTCTTGTGTCTGCAGGTGTCCAGGGTGAGGTGCAGCTGGTGGAGTCTGGGGGAGACCTGGTGAAGCCTGGGGGGTCCCTGAGACTCTCCTGTGTGGCCTCTGGATTCACCTTCAGTAGCTATGCATGAGCTGGGTCCGCCAGGCTCCAGGGAAGGGGCTGCAGTGGGTCGCAGGGATTAACAGTGATGGAAGTAGCACAAGCTACGCAGACGCTGTGAAGGGCCGATTCACCATCTCCAGAGACAACGCCAAGAACACGCTGTATCTGCAGATGAACAGCCTGAGAGCCGAGGACACGGCCGTGTATTACTGTGCGAGGACACAGTGAGGGGACCTCAGTGTGAGCCCAGACACAAACCTCCCTGTAGAAGGGGATCGGGACCACCAGGGGGTGCGCACTCCTCACCACTTCTGTCTTGAAGGCCCAGGAGCAGGTGCAGATGGAGGTTCTGGGCAGGTTTCCTGTCAGGGTCTGGGCTTCCTCTCCATGGAGCAGTTTCCCCAAGGGAGTCCCTCTGGGCACAGGATTCTGTGCTTACTTATTCAGTCTCTAACTTACACACTTTGTTGTCATAGAAAGAGAAATATTCCAACGTCAAAAATGACAGTGCCTCTTGCTTTGCTTATTCGTTCTTCAGTTTCTGATTTGGAAATTTGGTTGGTTTTAGTCAACAACTCTTCTCATATGCTCAAGTACAAATCTGCTTAAAATTCCTTACTACTGTCAGTTAATACCAGTTTATTACCCATATCTCATTTACCACAACTTCTCCTTTAGAAGAGTCCCAGCTGCATACATGGAACATGAAACAACCACCCAGCTCACTGTGCAATGATTTTATTTTATTTTGTATATTTTTATTGGATTTCAATTTGCCAACATATACCATAACACCCAGTGCTTATCCTGCCATCGGCTCCCTCACTGCTTGTCACCCAGTCACCCCAACCCTCTGCCAACCTCCCCTTCCACTACCACTTGTTCATTTCCCAGAGTAAGGATTCTCTCGTGTTCTGTATCCTTCCCTGCCATTTCCTGCTCATTTTCCTTCCTTTCTCATTTTTTCCCTTTCTCGATTTTTTACATTCCCTGAATAAATGCAAACATATGTTTGTCATTTTCCCATTGACTTACTTCACTCACCATAATACCCTCCAGTTCCATCCACGTTGTTGCAAAGCGTGGGTATTCCTCGTTTCTAATATGCAAGGATTTTAGAAACAACATAAAGTTCATGCTGGTCATGACACTACAAACGGCTCAAAAATCAAACGGAGAGAAGACGGAGTGCAGGTGTGACTTCAGTCTTGAACCACTCTCACAGAATCGATATCAGTGTGAATCTGGGAAAGCAAGGGACCCCAGAAGTACATTGTGAGGATGTGTAGTCTGAAGAGCCCCCCACATCCACACAGACACGAGAGTACAAACCTTTATCA